ATAACTATACACCTCAGCAGCAAAGCAGCATCAGCAGAGTATAAGTACAGGATTGAATAGGAGTATGACTTTTCAAATCTATGGCTGAAATGCTTTCAATTATCACATTTCACACCAATCACAAAAAAAATAGTTTCCTTTTTCACTAGTAAGCAACAGGGAAAAGTGAGGGCCTTGAAAACATCACTAGATTGAAATTCATTAGAGGTCCCCGATGGTGCAATTTCAAGGTTTAACCCAGCTTTTCTTACCCAAGAGGGAAACTCCATACTTTAGAGCTTGATTTAATATATACATGTAGTCATACTTACATTTGATGATGGAGCAGTCTTTTGAAGCAGAAAAAATAAATTTGTCATCAGGTGACACACACAGACATGTGACTGACAGCTGATGACCTCTCAGAACTCTGATCGCAGCAGGAGAGGGCTGTGTGTACTGTTGAGTAAATATTGATAATTATTTTATGCTGACATGTGTACATGTACGTAAAGTCTGTGTTTGAGCCAAGTGTCATATCAGGCCAGCACTGATCCCAGGTTTCTGTACTACCAAGTGACTAGGAGTACTTCTAATTTCTCTGGATGGGATGCTAGTCCTCTGCAAGCCTACCCCCAGCATTTCACATGCCACTAGCCATTTAAACACCTGGCTGATGAGAGAGACACTTGGAGAGTGAATCATCTTGCCTAAGAACACAAAACAGTGAGTCTGAGCAAAGCTCAAACCCAGACTACTTAATCTGGAGACCAGTGCACTAACCATCAGCAAATACACAAGCCTTGGATGGTGCTACTATTAATGTCATGATCATACCTGAGAAGCTATTCTTTTCTGTAATCTGCCTGTTTGCTCGAGCTAGACAATAAAAGCAAGAATGTACATGTATACAACATATATTTAATTCTGATGATTACCATAATGCTACAATATTTCTGAAAGAAATAATGATGCAACCTTAAATATAAATTGTTGTATCCTTTTGTTGTAATTTTTTATTATCTTGTAATTTAAACACTTCATGAGAATATTGAAAAAAAGAGAATACAAAACCAAACTGACAGTCACAGTAAGTTACATGATATCATTGCAGAACTTCTCAATTAGCTGATAAGTGCATGATCGCGCACATCTTCAAGTTTCAATTGACAATTCAGTAGACCTGCAGTAAAGCATGAACTTACTATGTAGAGAAATGGTTGGAGATCATTACCTTGAGGAGACATAAGAATTCCAGTAAAATAAATAGATTACATGTATTTTCATTTGATTTATAAGGGGTGAAAATTGATTACAATGTGCCTTCAGCCTCATAGGCTATCACCTCATAGAAATCAAGAGCACAAAAATAATCTATTTGAGTTGAATACTATTTATACTAAGAATTATGTCTAGATACTTACAACATCCTGTTTAAGTCTGTGAGCAATAGCATCATGATCTATGTCATCTGACTCTTTCTTTTTTTGTTCTGGAAATACATGACACCATTCTCAAGACAAAGTGAATAAATAATGCGAAGACTTGATTTATATACAGTCTCTGCGAATTAGCATAATAACAAAGGACCATAAGTTCTTCAAGTGAATACCTTTGCGCAAATCAAGTTCGTTTGCACATTTAGGAATGGTTTACGTTTTCTTATAAAAAAAATCTCCTAATTAGGCAATCAAATTGCAATTCATGCAAAGGTATTGATAATTAACTCCTCCTTCTAGAAACATGTCAGTCTTGTGGGCAAGTCTATCAATGGCAGTTAATTTACCTTAGTATGTAGATGAGTAGTGTTTCACTTGTTCACCAACACATACATGTACCAACAGTTTCTTCACTCTTACCTTCACTCTCTAACTGTGCTAAGTATTGCTTGGCAAGACGAAGTCGCTTCTCTTGAGCAGTCTCAACATCCCTCTCCTCTCCCTCTTCAACCATATCTTCCTCCCTATCACTGAAAGAAATGTTGCAATTTAGTGATATTCAGTTGGTAAACCAAAATACCGTAATATTGAAGAACACATAGATCTAAACCAGCACCTACATTAACACAGGCTTTCCATTAAAAAAGAAAAAATCAAGCTTTACTTCATCATTATATTTTTTACTAACGATAACTTAACTGCACTCAGCTAGCCTTAAAGATTTATACTTAAGGGATCACAGTGTAGCTTCAATTGGGCACAACATATTCACCTCTTGCCTTGAGGAAACAAACCCTACTATTATGGACATCTGTTATCACAGACAGAAGCTACATCCCCAGCTGAAGCTACAAAAAAGGTATGGAAACAGCTAGGCTGTTATGGACTACCACTAATTATGGAATTGCAGACACTTCAAGTGATCCCAAACTAACATTCTTATTGTTCTTCTCTTGTTGCAACAGACAACTTGGACATACTGAATGACATAATTATACTTCAGTCATGGAATGTTTACTAGTTTGTACTCTGTTTTGACCTATATTATATCATTGTGAATCAAGGTAAATATGTATACCTAGTACAACAAATTAAAAGAAACTGAAAATCTGAAATGTGACACTTTATACTCAAAAATTGAGTGTTTTCATTATATCCCACTATTGCAGACTCTTGCTGTTACAGACACCATAGTCATAGTCATAGCAGTCATAGTAATTTTTCTCGGACAATTCTGTCCAAGAGGGAAAGGCTGATTAATTGAGATTAACCCTATGTGAAGCACCGACCCATGAAACAAGGCCAGACCACAACACCAGGAACTCCGTGCCCTACTCTTTTCGATAAGTGTGTGGGTTCTTTAACGTCCCCTGCTAACCATGTAACACTGAGGATGAAGGAGACAGGGCCTATGCTTTATAATCCTTATCTGAGAAGACTTGAACGTCTAACCATTTGTAGATGTCATTACAAAGGCAGCATATTCTACTCAGTTACATGTATTTTAAGACCCTGAATGTTGGTCTGGTCTGGGGCTGCAACCCTCAACCTCCCGCACTGTCCAAGGAGGAAAGGTGCAACGAGGTCAACCCTGTATGAAGCACCAACCCGTGAAACAAGACCAGACCACAACACCAGGAACTTCATGCCCTACTCTTTTCGTTAAGTGTGTGGGTTCTTTAACGTCCCCTGCTAACCATGTAACATTGAAGATGCAGGAGATTTGACAGGGCCTATGGTTTATAGTCCTTATCCGAAAAGACTTGAACATCTAACTATTTGCAGATGTAATTATGAAGGCAGCACATTCTCCTCAGGTATTTTAAGACCCTGAGTGCTGGTCCGCACAGTAGACTGTGGCTCTCTACCAACTAAGCTAACCAGGCGGTGCTGACACCAAATGACGGTCCCAAGGGTGTCTTCGCTATGACGAGAGTTGACTGTATAACAAAACGCCAGTTAAGTAAGCTACAATACACTTAATAAGCTTAAATACATTAGGCAAGCACAGTAAGAGAGCCAGTGAGAAGAATTTTTACCTTGGAATGTCTGAATCACTTCCCAGTTCATCTTCATCTATGTATTCAACCTTCTTCGATGGCTTTTTGCTCTTTTGCTTCTTAGTTTTGGATCCCAACACCTACGAAATAAACGTTGTAAAACCACGTGAGCACGCAACTTGTATCTGCTTCTATGAACTGAACGGCTTACAGGTATACATAGTGTTAAATTTACTTCAATATTAGACAAATGCAAACGATTATTTCAACATGCATACTAGGCAGAATGTGAGACTTTACCTGAGATGATTTAGCTTGTCTTTTCCTTGGCTTCGACGAAGAACCTTTCTTGTCCGCCAAGAAAAAGCCCGACATTTTGTTTTTTATTGCCGAGAGAAACCTGGAAACTGGAGCCCAGAGTCTCTCGAGTTCGGTCAGCGGTTGGTCGCCGGAAGGTATCTTGTTCGTGTCCTTCGTGTCCTTCGTGTCCTTCGTGTATCAGGGGCCTGTTCACATGGAATTGGGGGACCTCGGGCAGGTGAGGTACCCCGCCTTGGTGGGGTAACCAGTCTATCCATACAATCTCTCTTTTTTTTCTTGATCGTGTTCACATGTTAGGTGGGGTACTCCACCAAGGCGGATTACCCGGAGTTTTCTCCAGGTGAAAGCTGCGGAGTGGGGTGACCCGCCTAACCGGGGTAATCAAATCACTGCGCCAAAGCCCGCCAAAACACACGGAAGAAGAACATGGCTGCAAACCGCTACGCATGCAGCGAGACTTTCACAGGCATTCTCAGTATATACAGAACTAACAGGAACCTGACTTTCAGAATTTGAAAATAATGAACAAGTCATCGAAACGTCATTCGAAATTATTATCGCTGATTTTTACTCTTAATTGTTTTACAACATTGCAGGGGGAAGACTAAGCTCACTACAAAGTGGCAAAAATTTCAAAGTGCGACAGTTGAATTTATTGCAAAGTGCGACAGCTTACTTTATTACAAAGTGCGACAGTGTCTTATTACAAAGTGCACCAGCTTTTTTATTACAAAGTGCAACTTGTATTGTCAATATAGAGTGTGGCAGGTGTTAAGATTTTATTACAAAGTGCGACTATTATAACAAAAGTGCGATAGAAACAAAGTTTCAGTCAATACCTGTATTATTTCATATCTTTCTATTTCTTTGCATTCTAGATATACATCGACCTTTTTCCCTCCAATTCTGTCAGATCAGCCACCCAGCTTGATTAACTTCTACAGTCAGTCTGGGTGAAATTTTGCTGGTATTCCTATTTCCCCAATGATTTTGCAAGCTAAAGGAATATAAAGCCAACGTATGTTTTTGTCATTGCTTTGTGCTTTGGTTAGATTTCTAGTTCACTTTTACCGGCGAAAATGTTGTTGGTGATATTTGTTTCTTATAAACAAGAAAAAACTGAGAAAAGACTTTAATTTGCTTCAGTGGCAATTGTTTTGGCAATGGTCATAAATCTTTTTTTTTTTTTTAAATTTTGTTCTGCCACCAGAGAATCTCAGATTAAGGGATCTATTTATTTAATTTATTTCTGATAAACTAGAGAAAAGAAAAGAATTAAATCCCTACCATTTGCTTTAGTAACGATACTTTTAACAATAGACATGAACCTTTTTGTTAAAAAAGACTTTAGATCTGCCGCCAGAGAATCTCAGATTAAGGGATCCATTTAATTGAGTAAAATTTGTTTCTTATAAACAAGAAAAAAGAAAAGACTTTAATCTCCATCATTTGCTTCAGTAAGGATACTTTTAGCAATAGTCATGAAGCTTTTAAAAATAATCATAATAATAAATGAACTTTGTTCTGTCACCAGGGAATCTCAGATTAAGGAATTTGTTTAACTAAGTAAAACCTTAGAAGATGTTTGGAAGAATCGAGAAGCAAAGCATTTTGTATTGTTAAAGCGATGAAGGTCGACTCTCAGCGGGTACACACGTATTCTTTCTATTCCTTAAAAATTTCACAGTTTCTCCATTGTTCCACATTATATTAATATATTCCGTTGTTCAATAAATTTTATTGCCAAGCCTCTAATTCCTAGTTGAAAGATCCCCTGATCCCTCAAATTACTTCAAGAAATATTCTTTGTTCCCTTGAAATCAGTAAATTTTCAGGTTTCCTTGTTCCTCACAGATAATTAGTTGAATTTAAGTATCGATCAATGGAAGTCGTCAATTATTAATCACAAAAAATCATAAGCATATCTAAAAGGTTGGCAGTATATTTAATCCAACTTATTCAAGCTCCAACGCACTTCTACTTCGGTTCTTTCGTAAAGGAACCCTGTAGACTCGAATTTCCAGTCAGGGAATGATTCGGTCGCTAATTCGTTCATGCACAAAAATTAGGTTATAATATCATCGAAATTCTCTCCGACCACGACTCTGATGTAGCTGTAACTAATTACCATGTTTAGTTTATTTACTCGATCAGAGATTCTCTTTCTTGTTTTCAACGCCATCTCGGTTTATCAAGCAGCAAGTGAAGCTTACATGGATGGCTCCAAAGCCTTGAAGCGAGATGCAGGGGAAGGTGTGGCTTACGCTAACTTTGCAGCACACAAGTTTCGTTACCTGAACGTAACCCCTTTGGATTCAACTACAGTGAAAGAGCCTCCAGAGTGCAGTTTTCTTTGTGTCAATCACTCGTCGTGTTTTTCAACAAATCTGGCGGCATTTCGTGACCAAGAAGGAAAGATTAAATGTGAACTGTTACAAAGTGATAAGTACAACAATTCCAACAAGTTTCTTGAGAGCGTAGCGTACCATCACCTCAGCATAAAGGTCAGAAAAGCAGCGTCTATAAATATCACCCCCGATTTAGAAAGAGGCTAATCAGAGATTATCTACAGAAAGGGAATCCTTATTTCTTATCTTTATAGCATAGTACGTGTTTCAAAATCGAGATCTTCTGAAATTACCATCTTCGTTCATTTCACTTCAGCTGGAAAAACCTTCATAAAACGACATTTTTTCTATCAAGGGAAAGGGCGTAAAGTTACTTTTGATAAATACAGGTGAAAAGGCAAATGAAATGTTGTCACTACGTTTTAATTTTTAGTCTTCATTGAATAATTGCAGTCTTCAGTTTGTAATTTTCAGTAATAATCAGTCTCTCTTGAAACGGCACAGGTTAAGTTAGTGAGGGAAATAAAGAAAATATTATGAAACTAGGGCAGTGATAAATGATTTTTTTTGTTCTTCAACAGAGTCCTTGTTCCAGTGGTCCTTGTATGAACCAAGCAACCTGTGTGGCCAAATACGAAAACAACGACTACCAGTGCACATGTGCTTTAGGATATGCTGGGAAGTATTGTGAAATAGGTAGTTTACAATAACTGTCAAATTTATGACACGCTCATTGGTCATTTTAAATTTTTATATGACTTAATCGTTAAATTTCCGTCTGCAAGCCAGGCTATTGGAAAGCGAGACATGTTAAAGTTTCTGTTTTATTTAATTTTGCTGCGCTCAGTGGCTGTGTCCAAAGTACTTTACGTGACGTTAATAATAGCAGATTTGCACTTTGTCATCATTTGACTACTACTACCAGAATTCCTTTCGTTTTTTCTTTATTATTTAAATTTTGAAGTCCCAGTAGGGTTTAAATAACAATTGCCCTAATCAGCATAAGAAACAGACTGAAGTAAAGGATTCTGGTAGTTGTAGTCAAATGACGCCATCATGCAAATTGCCAATTCAGGAGATATATATTGAAGAATTTCCTGATGGAATAAAGGTTACTTATAGAAAATCTTTCTCTGGCATTTCAATTTTTAGTCCCTGCACGTCAGGCGTAGTTGGAAGTCAGTATGACAGTGAGCGTTTCGGGATCGTTTTCCCTAAAACAAAATGCAAGTCCTCTTGTCCCTCTACCCAGTGAAGGCCTTGCTCAATAGTTTGGGTTTATTTGTGATTGCCAGTTTTTAATGTTTCTTTCCTGTTACCGAACTATCATAAATTTCGTCATAACATTGTCAAAGCAGTCTGCGGATCATGCGATTTCTCTTGCTTTGTACTCAGGTCCATTGCTTACCTGCCAAGATATAAAGAATCATAGTCTTTCTAAGGGGGATGGATTGTACTGGTTGGACCCGGATGCAGGAAGCCATTCAAATGCATTCCTGGCCTACTGTGACATGACGTCATACAATGGAGGATGGACCATGTGTTACACTACTGATGAATATGTCAAACCCAAGACTGAAGTCACATACAGCACTCAGTTTCCTTATGGAAGTGACGGCTATAGGACCAACTGTAACAACATCCCTGTAAGTTTGCAAACTTTCGGTGCATGTGAACTTTGGAAGCTTTGATTGTTGAAATCCCCAATTTGGGGCCCAAAAGTGGCACAGATATGCCTCACTCACCCTTAGGATCACATTAGGCGATTGAATGCGTTGCGCCTGTCCCCGGTACATACATGCGCATGCCTGAAAGGGACAGAAAGTACAAAACCTCGAACGTCCGCGGTTAACTCAGTCCACTTTATCCGAGTATTATTTTTTACACCATTAAAACATGAGGGGGCGAAGAATTTCATAGCCAAAACTATGTATTTACCTTCAAGCAT